ATAACTTCAAACACAGGCTAAGCATGCATGACTCTGCCTTCAAGGCTAAGCATGAGAGGTTGACCGTATATAATTCTACTAACAGATTGATCGAAGGGCTGGCAGGGCGGTCATCTCCGAAAATTGTAAATTATCATATAATTTAGATTTTTTTTATATTTTCTCTTGATAATCACGTGTTCATCCTTAATTATACTCTCGATACAGATTGATCATATTTCCATAGCTTTTTTAATGGGTATTAAAGTTGTTTAATGCATGATAAAGTTGCTTAGATTCTAAAAGTTCGATTCTTCACCCATAAGTTTCTTTCTTTATTCAATTTAGGGTTGTATAGTTCGGAGGAAAAGGACGACCCTACAGTACCAAACAAACTAAAAGAAGTAAAGCAAAATCAACAGGCAGACCGCTTGAGGAAAAAGTGTAGTTTGAGAAAAGGCAATGCAGAAAAAATAAATAATTAGCCCTTCTTTAACTGGCTTCATCATAGCAGCTTCTACTTGGACACACTTTCACATAATTATTAAAAAGGCTTAAATGCTATTTTAGCCCTTAAAGTTATACTCAATTATCACTTTAGTTTGATATCTAAAGTTACAAATCATGTATCCCTTTGGTTTACCCTGAAATTTCGTTAAAAAAGAAATAAAAAAAATAAACTTATTGAGTGATTCTAATGACTTAGGACGGTTTTTTTAGTCGGTAATTCGAATTAGAGTAATGATATCTGTAAGAGGTAGAACAGGAACTGGATAATTTGAGATGTTCATTTTTTAAAAGAAAAAAAAATAGTAAAGTGGTCATAATTATCATATTATAAAAACAAATGGATCAAAAGTTGCATATTCGGCCCTTTTTGGACCTTATAGAGTAAGGAGGGCCAGACTTCAGGGATAAGGAAGCCTAGAAAACTGGTTTGTACTTTAGCAGTCTGTGGACTCGAAAACGGATAGATTTGGGCCTAATGAGAAACCAACTAAATCTGCCACTTTTATATGAAAGAATCCCCATCTTTGTTTAGGGACCAACCTAGCAATTATACCAGCATTCAATTCAGTCTAATTAGCTAGTAATAATTATTTCTCAATTATACACCATTCAAACGTATAAATACACTCAATTAATAAGAGACGTCATTTTAATTCTGATTGATATTTTTTTTACTTTATAGTATGTGTACCCTTACTGTGCCTCATCAAATCAACATGTTTTCTCTATGATTTTCAAATATATATTTCAAAAGATATATAGTTTCAGGTTTGCATTAATTTTTTTCCTAAACTTTTCAAGTAATTTATTGATGGAGATACAAATGATCGTGGGGCAGGGTACCAAAGTATTGAACCTTTGCCTCCCATAAGCAAGACAAATAGTTAGGAAATTATGGGATTTTAGTGGATAAACATCCTTTTTCTAAACTAAAGTAAAAGCTCGCTCTACTTTTTTAGAACCTATAAATAACAATAATATCACTTAAAATCAACAGAACAACAATTAAAAGTATTTCAGGAAAGGAAAATATAATAATTTAATAACTCAATTAAAATTTATAGTTAAAACAAAATATCTATTGGTGAATGAACTTGGAATTATCTAATTGATTTTAGTTTTGGAATTTAAAATTACCAAGAAGAAAGCTGGGTCTGTATGGTGACTCGATCGGTGGCCATAGGCAAGGAGGAGGAGAAAACCAGAGAATATAGTTTAATCATGTGGATTTACGGTTGCCGCTTCGATTAAATTGCAAACTATAAGATCAATGCTATTGAAACCTTTATCAAATTCTACTTATTATAACGTCAATAATCATAATAATCCACTGAAATCTACGTAATAGCACAAGAAGTGAGTTGTTGAGTCAATATTATGGGACCCTTGTCGGATCTGCGTTAATGAATCATGGTGGTTGTCCATACATCGGGCGGTTGCTATCAATCATTAACTATCTTCCGAGTTCACGAGACAGCCTGAAGCTATCGATTTGTTGATGCATCGATTACAGAACCCGGTCCTTATCGTTCATGTAAGGAAAGTTTGCTCGATTTCGTTGCGACACAGCATCTAACAAACATAAAGGCAATGTCATCCATTCAGGCTGAAATTAAACACTCTCAAGGTCAAAGCTTTTTCCAAGCGAAAGTCATCAAGAATCAGAGGTGGATTATATGAAAAAGGGTCCCCTAAATGCACGTTAGCCACCCACGTGATTTCTCTACGGAAGTAAAAGCCAGTTACGGTTCTGCTTCTGCCCATTGCAGGAGTTTGGACCCCGGGTTTCAGTCCATTATTCAATGCATCATTATCACGCTACTGTACACCCCTACGTATTCAATATGTATATACAACTCCGTGGCAGGTCGACAACCGACTGGTTTAATTGGATGAAACAATATATTCTTTAATAAGATCAGAAGTTCGAATTCTAATATCTGCGAGGAAAGCAAACTGGATTAGAGGGTCACTCTCGACTATGTAGTACTCAACTCGTATTAGTTGATTAATAAATCAGATATCGATACTTATAAAATAACAGAAACAATAGTCAGTGATCGCATCGAGAATGGAAACTACCTTTATTTCCTTTGGGTAAATTATAAATTTCGTCATTCAACTCCCCTTACTCTTATTTTAGTCACTAGAATTTTTAAAAAATTAATTTATTCATTGAATTTTTAATTTCCTCCTATTTTGGTCACTCCTCCGTTATATACTTAACATCGATGAAATATTTTCTTTCAAATCCCAATGGTGGGGAGGTAGAAAAGGAGGAAGCGAACTATATATCTTTATATCATACTGAGCCGATGGTGGATATTGTATATCATAATGGCTTATGGTTTTATGAGTTTTGGGGTTTATGTTGAATTTCATAAGTTTTAAAATGATATTAAAAAAACCCTGAACATATAGAGTGGTAAGAGACAATGAGATTAGTTTATTGGTGTCTTGATTGGTCAAAAAAGATATCAAAGAATGATGATCTCAATGTCATAATGATGTAACTATAAAACATTCATATTTGGAGGAAGAAGATTAAAATAAGAACAAAAGGGAAAAAGATGGGGATGCCATGTCAATAAAAATTAGTACACATAAACACGTATGGCTATCATATCACCCTTCTATTTTCCGATTTAACTTTTGGGTGATCAAAAAATAGTAAATCGAAAGTTTGGTGATTAAATTGATTTTTTTTTAAATTTTAGTGACCAAAATAAGATTAATTGTAAATTTAAGTGATCAAAATTATGATTTACCCTTTTATTTGAATCTTTAACCTTTTTCACCGGTCAACTGCTCACTTCTCTCTTTCTTTGATAATTCAAGTAAATTTTCAAGAAAATAATAACAACAATCATGGTTTATAGTTAACTAGGCTGCTAAATTAGAAATCAATGAGCTACTTTGTCGGCGCCCCAATTAACATAGAATCATATAGTGTCAAAGAGATATAATGTGCGATTATAACATTAATGCTTTAGCAATAAAAGGAACTCCATAAACTAATTAAAGTAAATTCTCACTATATTTACAGAGTTTGTGTGGTAAATACAGGGGTTGTGCCTTTTGAGGTATAATAACGTCACAAACCATATGATTGCCATAATGATTCAAGGTTTTTAAAACCGATTGGTGTAGTGGGATGAGACATTATGTTCCTTAAGCAAGGTCAAAGGTTCGAATCCTAGTGTTTGCGAATGGAGCAAACTGGATTGGGAGGGTCGCCTTCGCCTCTGCAGTACCTGATCTGAATTAGTCGGTCAATAGATCAGATACCAATGATTAATTAAAAAAAAAGAAATGCACTTTTTGAAAAATTATTCGAGAAAAGATAGTGTGTTTTTTTATAATAATTGTAAAGTTATTTTAGAATGAGAGAATGTTAGAATTACCGATAATTATCGATATCTTTCATCGGAGTTGATTGTAACCTTCGGCATCTTAGCACTATTTACACATGTTTGATTGTTGAAAGATTAAAGCTAAAACAATAAGGATCAATTTCAAACATTAAAAAAAACTGTCCAATAAAACATGCACGTTATATTTGCATATATGAACACAATTTGACGACGTGAATGTATGCGTTTTATTTCTAATCACTCAGTAAGGGAAAAAATATAAATATTGTATTTAAGTATTAATCAATATGTAATTTTATAAGGGTTGAATATCATCTATTTGTTTGATCATATTCATGTTCGTATTAACACGTGTCTAAGACACATAACACGCATATTTTGTTTTGACACAATTATGCTTAAAATTGACCCTTATTAATTTTTTGACCCGTTTACTTGAATATCATGTCACGTCAGAAACGTTTTTGAATATAACTTTTTAAATATATATTTATCGAGTTGTTAAATATATATGTGTATTTGACCCATTTAAAAGAGATGATTGGGTTTTTGAAAAATACATCTAATGTGACACATCTTTATTGAAGGGATGCTATTTCGAGAATTAATTGAGAATGAGTGTTATGTAAGTAATTATTTTTATGTGCATTTAGGTAAATAGATCATTTTTATTTTAATTATTGATAATCAAACTTGTATAGTTAGAGCCAAAAATGTCGACAACCATCACTTATTTAAATAAAATCACTAACATATGTCTAAGGATGGGCATGTCAGATTTTTGGTCCACCCGATCCGAGAACAATGACTCTTTCACTCGAAATCTGACTTGACCTGTATAAATATATACTTTCGCCAACTCGAATTCGATCGGACTTTTTGAAATAAAATTTGAATCCGACCCGACCCGACTTAAAATAATAATAATAAAATATTATTTTTATTCAATAAAAATAATGATTTAATTGAGAAAAAATATATAAAGGATTATTATTATAATTATTCATAAATATATAAGGTCAAATTATATTTTTCTTGGTCGAGCTAGATATTTTTTCATCTTAAACTTAAATCATTCCTATATATATATCCTATATATATATATATATAAGTACAAACAGTGTATGTATAGTATACGATCGTACACACATTTTCCCTACTTTTTCTTGTCTTTTAACCCTGCCTTCTGCTCTGTCAAATTTCAGACTGCTCTGCTCTCACATGACTAACTTGTTGGTCGCTGCAACCACGCACACAATACATTGCAAAATAAAGGCAATGCCATTCTTCTTCTTTTTCCCATCTCTCTCTCTGTTGCACTCCATTTTCAGCACTTCCCATTTACCTTTAAGAAATAACTTTTCTTTTTCTTGTTATCTGCTCTAAAAAAATCCATATCTTCAAGAAAGATTCAAACTTTGTGCGTTTTTCTATTCTGGCTCTCCCAACAATGGAAGCTTTTAGCTTGCTTAAGTATTGGAGAGGGGGCGGAGGTGGTAACAATGCTTGTGTGTCTGCACGTTCTGTCGCTGGAACTGCCGGAGGGGGCAGTACAACTACGATCGTGACTACCCATCAGGTGGTGGATACGGATGATGAAGAAGATGATGATGGACCTTTCTTTGACCTGGAGTTTGCTGTTCCTGATGAGGATGAAACAGAGGAAATCGAAGATATCGAGAAAGTAGGTGGTGATGTTGAAGACGAAGAAAGTGAGGATCAAAATGACGGCGTTGATGCAAAATCTGAGGATGGTTGCTCCGATGGTGATCGAGAGTTCAATTTCACGCTCTCCTCTGGCTCAAGCGGTGACCCTTCTGATCCGAACCTGATTTTATCTCCTTCCGATGATCTGTTTTTTAAAGGAAGGCTAGTACCCATTGAGTCAAACTCTTCTTTGGAATCGAAACCTCCTCAATTTCCAGTCTCATTGTTGAAATCAGCCACCAAGTTTCGAGTTTTCTTGTTAAGATTCAAGAAATCAAAGCTCAACTCAACTGAAAAGAATGAGTCGGCTTCTGCTAATGAGCCTGGTTCAGTCCCCACCACGAGTTCACCAAAAAAGCAAGAAGCAACTCAAGAAGAAGACAATAATAACAAGAACAAGCTTTTTACAGTGAAATTTAAGGTTGAGGAGGTCCCTATAATGTCTCTGTTTTCCAGAGACAACTGCAAGTCGCAGAAACAACAGAGCTCCGACGAGACTGTTTCTGACGAAAAGAAATTCTCCAAAGATGTAATGCAAAAATACTTGAAGAAAGTTAAGCCGCTTTATGTTCGGGTTTCAAGAAGGTACGGTGAGAAGCTTAAGTTTTCAGGGCAGTTGAGATTAGGTTCTTTGAAACCCGCTACGCCACCGTCTACGGCTGCTCAGAAACCGGTAACGACGGCGGAAAAAGGACAGACGGAGGTGGAGGTTGGGAAGAACACCAAGCAGGTGAACATTCCTGCAGGTCTTAGAGTGGTTTGCAAGCATTTGGGAAAGAGCCGATCAGCCTCCGCCGTGGCGGCTATTCCCCCAGCACCTGCTGTGTCTAAGAGGAGAGACGATTCTCTATTGCAACAAGAAGATGGAATCCAAGGCGCCATCCTACATTGCAAGAGATCTTTTAACGGCTGTCAAGGTATTTCGTTTAAACATCATCACTTAAAAATAATACTTGGTAAATAAATTTTAATCTCTCTTTTTTTCCCATTGTTCTGCTACAGATTCTTCAGAGTCTTCCATTCTGCCAAGGTCTGTAAGTGACCCATCCCATGAGAAATCAAGTAATTTGTCAAGAAACACATCACTAGATGAAGCTAAAGCATGAAAAACAAAACGTCCACCGTTAATGAATCAATGATGCATTGATTATCTCTGTAAATAATTTTGTTTACTTGTTCACTAGGTCTACTACCCCTACTGTATGTAAAAGGCTCCTCTTTCTGTAAAGTGAAAGAAGAATCAGATCTTTGTATTGTTAGAAAAACCAAGTATGATGATTATGAAGGCTCCATCATTATCAGCAAAATTTGCTTTGAAGTTGAACAATTTGGGGTTTGATACTTTTTAAAATTGCATTGGCTATGATGGGTCCCAGGGTCAGGACTAAATGGTGTCTTTTGTGGTCAGAGAAGTGGGAAAGTGGAGACCAAAACAGTAAAAAAGAGAGATTTGCTTTACTTTTTCTCATAGGAAGGGGATGACCATAAACGACATCTCTTAATGAAGATACATATGTATTTATTGCTTTACCTTTGGACTAATCAGGTATTGGAACTCGAGAAGTCATGGATGTTGCTAATGCCGATGCATCCTTTCTTTCTTTATTTCTTCGCTATGTGAAGTAGCCAATTAGATACTATTTGTCTCCTTGCGGCAGCGCTTGGGGCCTACAAATGCGCTGCTGAGTGCTGAGCCCTCGGTGCCTGCCCTGCCCTTCCCACTCTACTAGTGCTCTGTTTTTATGGCCTTTTGTCCGGTAATTGGATTCTTACCAAAAAGTTTCTCCCTTCTTTTGAAAAATGACCAGTGTTTGTGCTAATATTTGGTGAACAACATAAAAGAAATAGAACCTAACATATTCCAAGGAGGTTGTGATTTTGTAAATGTATTAAATCCAGTAAATGATTGTAATACTTAGAACACGGAGTTTAAAATTTATAATCTTTTTAATATTTTAAATTACAATCAAATAATTATATATTTGTAGAGTCTTGTTGAAGGAAAATGTTAAATTATGTTGAATGTAGATAATACATTCGTTCTAGTTTGGATAGAGAGTAGTAATCAATGATTTTGGTGAGTAAGAAAAAGACGAAGTATGGTGTGTGTAGATATATAATCGAGAGAGAGATTTCAATATCCTTTCTTCAGTAATGTATGGTGGTTTATATACAGATATTTAGTATTGGTGTCAAGTTTAGAGTCACGATAATTATTCGTAGACTGATAGGACTTGTAGATATTATTGTCATATAACATATTTGGTTTTCAAAGATCAAGTGGATTAATCGGTAATCAAATCAAGAAGTTGTAGTCGTTTGGAATTTGGATGATGTTACACTCCAATTACTTTTGAAAATCCAGAGATCTCGATAAATAAAAGACTAACAGCGGAGATGCGATTTACGAAGGAGATTAAACAAATCTAAACTTTAGACATGTATATCAAATGATTTATCCATTATGGTGTTTCCAATCCGACCATATACTAAACCAATCAGTTTGGATCTCTAGACAAAGATAGTTTTATTGGATCATAGGTTTTGAACTTAAAACTTGATCTAAGATGTATTAAATTTGTTTTATTTTACCCTTCAAGTGAACCTTTCGGGTTTAGTGTCCGAAACTTGCATGCTGGAACCACACCAAAAACTTGGAAACGGCATTGTTCGGTTGGGAGCAATACTTTGACCGGTAGTTGTAGTTATATTACAGAGTGCAAATGGATCAGACTAAAGGTTGAAACTTTTGAACTCCAGCACGCTGCGGCACCTTTTGTTTTTAATCTGTCTCCGTTTCTTTTGAGACATCAGATGTTGGCAACCCTTTTTAGGCATATAATCGTACACAATTAGCCTCCAATTGTCGGGAAAACAGCTATTTAATTCAATGCACGTCCCAGTGATCCTTTCCTTTGAGTTTTTGATCCTACAAGTATCCTAAGCTTACAAACCCTGATAGTTGCCCTGATGGCCCAAACGTGTTCGTCTGAGTTTTTCCATATTGGCAACCAGGGCAAATTACAGATTTCATCACTCAACTTTTTTTAACATTCTTTTTGATCATTAAAGTTTAAAAATTTCAATTCACTTAATTTTTTTGTATTTGCTCTTATTTTATTCATTTGGGTGTTAAATTCTAAATAAAAGAGTGACTTGCCAGTCACATGTGTTGATGTAGATTGTTTTTTATTGACATGAAATACATATGTAATCCACGACTTTTTTTTTTTTTTTAGGATAAACTATACCAATGATTACTTAATTATTAACTCATTTTACTTTAACCATCAATCTTTTAATTTTATCAATCAAACCACCTAACTATTTAATTGAATTTAATCAAATCATTTGTCGTTAATATTTGACAAAAGTGATGATGTGACAATTAATAAAATTGATACAATTATCATTCCTCAAAAGATGAAAGTTTTATTATTTCATTATTGTGTCACGTCATTGTTGCAATTATCATTCTTCGATGTCTTCTCTGATCAGTCAAGATATTGATAAACTCACCTCACTGTCTCCTATCACTCTATCAGTTTATATTTTACATAAATAACTTTAAAACTCATAAAATCAACCAAAAATCCAAATCTCATGAAACCCTAAATCATTATAATTTATAATATCCACAATCCGATCAATGTAGAATCAAGATATATCACTTTTTCTTTCTCCACCTCCCTATTGTTAGGATTTAGAGGAAGACACCATCATCGAAAAATCAAAGAGAATTTGAAACTAGAGATCTTTTTCACAAAAATGAAGGAAATTTTGGGGTATTTTATAAATTTTAAAAGAGAAATATCAAGTTATAATGTTGTTAAGTATTTAACTATAGAGTGATTAAAATAGTAGTAAATCAAGAGTTAAGTGAGTAAATTAAAACTTTTTAAAGTTTAATGACCACCCACAAAAGTAAGAAGAAAGTTGAGTGATGAAATTTAGAATTCATCCATGCAAATATAACAACATACGAAATGGTTTTCATATAAAAAGTAGAGAAAGTTAGTACATAACAAAACCAAGAGGGAACAGACTATTAGGCTATAATGTAAGCGTAACAGAGGACAGTCAGAGATACCCTGAAAAAGCGTACAAGCAAGGGGATGATGGATGAAGGCTGCCTGCCTGTGCTTCATGAACGAAATAAGCAATTCATTCATCTCTGGTTTTTGGATTCCATAAACGGCATCTTTGAAACACAAAGGTCACCGACCATGAAAAATTGCGACTGTTTCAAGAGCACCATCGAGACCCGGCGTACATGCGTATAGAGACGGACGTAAGAATATATTAAAAATTTAAGGGTGTGAAATTAGATAATTTATATAAAATATAAGTAAAATATCTAAAATATAAGGGAATTTAAAATGTTTAGGAGTGTGACTGCACTGCTCAGCACCTCTCTCGGTCTATCTCTGCATGCGTGGGAAAAGATGTTGCTGCCTCCCTTATCCATATCTCTAATATTTTACTTCTCAGAGTGCAATGTTTATGGCAAAGTTTCAAGGGATTTTTGTAACATTATTACATCATTAATATGATCTTGCTTTTTATTCTAGGATGCTACCAACATTGCATGAAAACACAAAGTGAGCAATTCTTAAATCACTTACTTCTTACTCTTTTATAGGTAACTTGATACGGACAAATATCATACAACAATCTAATCACATGCTTTCCAATATTTTACCATAACTTCAACTATCACCATACATACATACATATCTAGAAACCGAGTTCTGATTTGCACCTGTCTCCATGAAAGCCCTCACCGGAAGGGGAGAGTCTAAAAGTGGTGGAACAGTTGAATTTCACCAAAAGGTTTCTCTTGATAATGTTCATAATATTAATCCGGCCTGAAATTCTGGTGTAACTGCTTATGTTCAATCCCTTTGAACCGATGATATCAATCACAAAGTCCGGATCAGTCAGGAAGTTATCAGGGTCTATTTCCACCGTCACGTTCCTCCGCAGCGTACTCCCGGGCTTAGCCTTCCCTTGGAAACGAGTGCCCTCGCCCACCACCCTGCCACGGTAATAAACCGTCATCGTTCCGTTATCGAATTTGAAGGTCGCCTCATTGGGGTTCTTAACTGAAACATCAGTTAAAAGTGTTAGGTTCACGCCAGTACTTAGAATTCTCTTTGTTGAAACCTCCGGGCTCTGGATTGTTATAGAATTCAGCCTGATCATGGGATCCAGTATACGAAAAATAGTTAATGACAGGACTATAACAATGATGGCTAGGATTAAAAAAAGCACGGCGATGCAGCCGGAGCACAAGAGAAATGTTCTCTTTCTCGACGGCGGTTCCGTAGAGAAGGCTTCATCTTTGTTGCTGCTGCGATCTCCGAAGGCGATGGGGGCAAAGGGCTTGACCTCCTCTTGCTCAGCCCTTGCCAATGCCTAAGTTATGGTATCTGTGACATTCGTGCTTGGCGATATATAAAGCATTGGTGAGGGAATTAAGAATGCATGAGATTTAGGGTTCAACCTCAAATGCGTTGGCAGGCTTCCCAGTTCCTACCATGTTTTCAGAACCGGACCGGTTAGCGAACCGATCATGCTACCGGTTCACTGGTTTAATCAGACGAACCGGCCTGATCGGTCAGAAAAATCGGACGACGTCATAATTATTTAAAAAATTAAATAAAAATACAAAAAATATTTAATAAAAAATAATTTTTTATATCACAAGTCATATTCAAAGCAAGTCATAACATATATAAGTTAAAAACCATAAAATCAAGTGAAACAAAATGATTCAAATTAACTATAACATAATATTTAAGGTAAAACATATTAAATAATAAATATAATTATATAACTATAATTTAAAAATAAATTTGGGGTTAAAAAAATCATAACAAAATTATATTGTTTGGTTTAATTTTTAAAAAAAAAAACAATCCCACATGGCTAAGAAACATAGAAGAGCATCCAAAAAGTCTAAAGAATAAAAATATGAGAACAAAACAATCTCACATTGCTAAGAAACATAGAAGCGCATCACAACTAACTTCTATAAATAATAGAGGTAATTTGTCATTCAAAATCATGGAGCCTTTTGGTGAGCATTGAGTGAACTATTCTTTCACTTCAATCAAGCTCGAATTTTAGGCTTCAATTGAGCTTCTAATTTTTTTTTGAGTTCAAGTTCCAATATTATATTTCGAGTTTGAGTTGAACTTGATAATTTTTAGCTTGTGAGTTTGAGTTGAGTTGAGCTTACTTTTAAAGTTTTCAAGTTCGAGTCGAGCTCAACAATACTCGAGTTCGACTTGGCTCGTTTAACAAACGACGTTGTTTGGTTTAAATTTTTTAAAAAAAAAAATCCTGGTTTTTTCCGATTTTCAACCGGTCCGATTTGAACGGTTCAACGATTCTGACCGGTTCACTAATAGTGGTTCAACCGGTTTAAATTAAACCGGACTAAGCAACGATTACCGGTTGAACCGGCCTGTCCGATTTTCAAAACAGAGGTTCCTACGCTCCATTTTAGATTAGTGTAGTCTACTCTGCCTTTGACCTGTTACCTAAGAAACTCTAACCTCAATCAACTCATCACATGTTATGAGATTATTCAATTTAAGAAGTTTCTCTGACTAAAACTTTAGGAATTTTCCCATTTTCTAATTTCTCTTCTTAATTATGCTATTTTCAATATTAATATTATACAAAATCTATCGTGTATACATGAGTTAAAGACGGAACTAGAATTAAATATTATAAGGATTAAATTATTTTACAACAAAATAATAAATATATAAAATTACAGGGGACTAGGGGTGCATTCTGTTCGGATAAAAGATAATCAAACCGCATTGTACATTTTTCTTCTAAAAAATGAAACTCAAATCGAATGATATAAAAACTGAAATTTTCGGTTTGATTCGATGCAATTTTATGGATTTTAACTGATCATCGTATTCCAAACTCAATTTCCTAAGAAATTAAACTTTAAGCTTAAACCGAGTGCAAACACATAAGTTTAACTTTTAAAAACTAATATTAGTTTTAAAATTTCATTTATTTAAGTTTGCCTTATATAAAAGAATTATGCATTTGATAATTAAAAAAGGTTGATTTGATTTGAAACAAATGAATTGGTATGAAAAATCGAAACCGAATGAATTATCAAAGAATGATAAGCTAATTGTGGAGAGGATGAGGCGAATTGAGTGAACTTCACATTCTCCTTCAATCTTCTTACGAGTGAGACGTAAAGTTTTGATTTTTCTTTCACTCCCTTGTATCGAGGGCTAAAATAGAAAATGATAATGTAGGAAGGTTAAATTATTTTTTTAGTCCTTAAACTATATATAAATTAAGAATTTAGATTCTATATTTTAATTTGTCATTTTCTCTCTCTCTCTATAGTACTACTTTGTTGAACAATTCCTCCTTAGTGGGAGGAGGATGGAGAATTTTGCTCCTAATTGATATTGAACCCACAACCTAAGAAAAATGAGAGGTGTCCATCGAGAACTTTTAACTATATGATCTAGAGATTGTTGACTTGTTCCTATGCTTTTTAAATCTGAAATTTTAGTTTTGATGCAAATAATAAGAGTGAGTTTATTAAGTATTAAATTTAAATTATGCGTAAGTTATCAATTTAGTTAGTTAATTGATGGATAAGTCTAAACACAAGGAGTTTTATTTTTGGAAGAAGCTAATAAAGTCCCATCAAAGATCGGAAATGTCATTTTCTTCTATTTCTTGGGATATATAGAAATTTATAAACTTGGCATGACAAAATGAAACTTCGGGTGTCTACCAAAGTTCTGCAAACCATGAGAAACTCCATTGATTACAACTCAAAACTTCAGCAAACCTTGATACCTTATCTTCATTAACGTTTTTGCTTTGGCTTTTTCTTACAAATTGGAACAGAAGCTAATGCATTAAGGTAAAATTTGAATTCATATTACAATATTGTCTTGTTTTTCCTATTTGTAGAAAAAAAGTTGAGTCTAAACACTAAACATTGACACGCTAAAGGACGGATGTAAGACTCTATATTAAGGGAATAAATTTATAAAAATTTAGGGGGACAATCATCCCACCACCCGTGGACACATCCATGCGGTCAGTTATCTCCACCAGGTACTCTATAGATTAATGGTGAAAGCAACATGGATGGAGGATACAAGTCTTCTCAATATTAATATCAATAAAAGGAAAGGTCGGTACGTTAGGTTACTCGTTTTACTCAACAGCGACGGGTACTTGCATATGCCCCCATTAACTGTCTTCTCACGCCATTGAACTTCGTTTCCATTCAGCAAGTTGACCGACTCTGACCGATTCATGAAGCCGCCATTCATAACACAAAAACAGAATAAACGAGTCGAAGAAAATGAGGAATACTTGAGAGAGATCGATGTCCACTCCTATTTTTAGATATGCATGGTGATTTGTATACGATTGTTAATTAAACATATATAATCAAAAGCATGAAGCAGGGGAATAGTAATTTAAGCAAACAGTCTTTACAAAAATAGTTCTTCCATTTACTAATCGCAACTTAAATCATGTACGGACCCCCCTGTAAAATTGAGTTTCATGAAGCAATTCAACTCAGGGTGCCTTGTTCTCTTCATAATGTTCATGATATTCAGCTTTCCACTCAATTTAACATGGCTGCTCAGCTCTAAAATCCCAGAACTTATATTGCTGCTTAAGCTCGTGGTATTGGGTATCCGCAGTGAGCTCACATCAACTGAAACATTCAACCTCTCTGTTGCCCTAGCTTGAGCTCTCCCGGGAGGTATTGTAAACTCTCCGACGACTACTAGACCGCACCAGACAGTCCCCGTCGTGTTGTCGAACCGAAAGTCTCCGAAATTAGCATTCTCGACGGCAACCGACGTTACAAGCGTAAAGTTGAACGACGGAGACGATGAATTAGTCCTATAATTGAGGTTCCGAACCCTGACTGATCCCAACTCAAAACCTGGGGTCCTGGGGCGTAAAAAGATAGAGCCGAAAATCAAGAGAACGGCTCCTTGGATGACCATGATTGCCAGAATTATAACAAGACATTTACTGCTTTTTTCTTCTCGAGGTGAAGCTTTGGGTTTAAACCCACCCGACTCCATGTCGCTTCTTGGATAATCTTGAACTGGTGCCAGTGGCTTGAACTGGGGATCTTGTTGCATATTGTTTTCTAGAAGGAAAAACAAGAAGGGTTGAGAATCTTGATATCGTAAAAAGTAGTCTTTTTTTTTAATCAAGAATCGAAGATTTAGCACTGGGTTTTTGCTCCTGTAAGTTTTCGATTGAGTTATGAACATGATGACATGTATTTATATAGCATATGGAATTCAGGGTTAGGGTTCTCGAACAACCGCGTTGATTTAGTTTTCAAGGGTATAAAGTATTGAATTTTTAGTGGGTCAGTCTTGGATTAGCGACGGATTTTTTTTATTAACTTCAGCTTGTGTTAAATATTTTACTTAGTCGATCCCAATAAAATGAAAATTACTTCAAGAGACGGCGAATGTTAAGTTCTCTCTCGGTGCATATTAGCTGGGCTAATAGCGTCTGAAGACGGGTCATCTCTCTTTCGATTCTTGTATTTTTTTTCCTGCATTTTCTGGATACTTCTTGGGGGGTTTTGCTGGTTTATGGCCGGTGAAGGTGTCTTGGACTGGAGGAAGCTTTTCGTGGCGGGGAATGCGCAGGAATTGGATTTCTTTCCTTCTGTGATGGTTGAGGGTTCATGCGATGTAAAACCACCTACTATGTGTTTGAGGAGGGTTTTTTTAGATTGGAGATACACTTTAGTTGGGCAGTTCATTGACTCCGCACCGAATTTTGCTACCTTACAGAAATTTGTTGGGCAGTTATGGGGGAAAAGCTCTCCGGTGAAGGTAAGCTTAGCTGGGGCAAATCTTTTTGTTTTTTCATTCGTTAATTCTTCGGCTAGGGACTGGGTTTTAGAGAACGGTCCGTGGCATTTTCAGCATAAATCAATTTGCCTTCGGAAATGGGAGCTTAATTTGAAAGAATTGAATTTTGATTTGCATTGCTTACCTGTTTGGATCCAATTGTATAATGTGCCATTAAAAATTTTCTCGAAGAAGGGTCTTAGTTACATAGCAAGTGCAGTAGGTAAATCACTTAACATGGACTCGATTACTGCTAGTAGAGAACGATTAGAATATGCCAGAGTCTGTGTTGAGATTCCAGCTAGGTTTAAGTTTCCGAATTACATTGATGTTATTGTAACACCCCCAGCCCGTATCCGACCTGGATCTGAGTCCGAAGTGTCACATTGACTTTTCAAAAACCTTTACTTGTATAAAATAGTGAGTAATTAAAATTTATTATTACATATAACTTATTCAAAACCTTTATCGAACTATTCAGAGCTTATACAATATATTATTTTGAATACATGCCAACTAGAACTTTATGTATTAAAATACATATTATCCACATTTCTTCTGATCTGACCTTTGATAAGGAGAACTGACCTGTCTTGCTCCACATTGCTCTTTACTCTTCTCACTTCGATAACCTACGTGTGAAATAATCACACGCTAAGTCGATGACTTAGTGAGGCAATAAACATAAAATATAACTATAGCTTGTAATCATGCATGAACAATTACTACTATCACTCATACCCTTATTCATGTAACAAATCCCTATAACACATATGCAATATATATCATTACATATAAAAACATATACACACATATATTCATCACTCATCATTTCCATCATTAGCCTTATTTCATTATCAATATTATCGTTTATATCACTTAATACATATCCTCTTATACCTAGCATTTTAACTAACATTTGTCTCATTGAATAATACAATCCACATATCATCATATAAATCATATAATACCATTCATATCACAAAAACATACAAATCACCTGTAATATATTTGTTGTTTTTCTTATTAGTCCATCTACACATATGAGAACTATAGATATATGAGTCTATAGAGGTTGTGCACTAATGTTGTCACCACAGCTCGTATAAATGCACCGAAGTGCCACGTAGAATTGCACCGTAGTGCCGCGTAGAAATGCACCGAACTGCCATATAAGGTTGTCCCTAAGGACCACATATCATTCCTTAAGAATCATATACATATGCCAAAGATCAAGTATGTGTCTCAAAAGACCTCACATGTTCCAAAGAATACATATATGTCCCGAAGGACCGCGTAGACCCTCAACTCTTGGCATGCCAACTATACCCTAGCTCTCATGACACATAACATGTGCATCATCATTTATGTCATTTCACATTTTCACATAAACACGTAGTTCACTTTCACATAGCACGTAGATTATGTCACTTTTCATACTATTTCACATTTCTTGTCACATTGCTTATATCTTATTTTATGTCTATCCTATATATATATATATATTCACATGTTCATATAATCCATCATTTCATCATCTAAATGTGTATTCATATAATTCATCTTCCTATATATATATATATCATTTTTCCTATACTTGTATTCACATAATTTATATTCTCCTTCTCATAATCTCATATCATATAGCTTATACCTCATTCTATGATATTCACCTAGATCATATCACATCTGTCACACTCATAAACATATGTCACTTCTATTATTTCATTTATATACTAATCTAATCTATTTACCTAATTCAATTCATATAGTACCTATAACTTTCTAATATGACTACGTAGATTTCTATCATACAACCCATATATCATAATTTTATTTAAGCATATGTATCTTTCCCATCTAACTCATCTTATATGTTCCTATTATCACTTATGTTCAAGTCTCATAACATCATATAGGTCAATATTATCTATCTTGTTTCAATTCTCATTCAATGATATAATTCTATTTTACTATTTCACATAAATGTTCATGCCACTATTCACTTACCCAACTCACATTCTTATTGTTTATATAACATTTACACTTGAGTACTTCATTCCCATCATTTCTTCTAAACTCGCTTTTTACCATATTCCCATATTATTACCTAATTTATCCCATATCATGTATTCACGTAATCTTATATTCCATTTCTATATATCTCAAAGATCTTATCACATAACTTCTCTTTTATATTCATATAATTTCTTATCATATCATCATAACATAGCATATATTCACATCAACCATGAAATACATATACAATAACATGTCAACACATACCATAACATATAACTCAGACACTCATAACAAACACATGTTCATGCTTCATGCACAATACTATAGAAATTAGACTTGTCACAAGTCTTATTTCCCAATAAACATCATATATAAAATAAAACGAACTCACCTTGGCCTCACTAAGCTCCAATCCATTTTTATAATTTCCTCTCTTGCGATCGAATCATAACTTGATAAACTCCGGGACTTGTTCGTGCTCGATATCTATATAATCATACATTGATACATATTAGTATCCAATTGATATACACTAATCTATCATTTCTTAGACCAAAAGAAAGGTATAATTCTATTTCCCTTGAAGTGCATCGATGCATTCTACAGTGTATCGATGCACCCCTTAACATTTGCATCGATGCACTCCTTATGTATCGATGCATTAATTGTATTCGATGTTTCTATTTTTAATGGGTGCATCGATGCACTTCCTGTGCATCGATACACTCTGAACAATTTCTGGAAATTTACCCTTGATGCATCGGTGCACCTCGAATGTGCATCGATGCACATAGCCCCGAATTCATTTTTAAGCCTGAAAATCTACTCAAATGCTTCATCTTTCAATCCTTTTCATGTTCTCAACTCATATACACATGCTTAAACCAATTTATATTCATATAAACCATCTTTAGCTTCAAAATTCTTTTCCTCATATGTAACTCAAGAATTAAACCAACTTTGCAATATGTTTTAATTCCAATTCTATGGCTTCTAACTTCTTAATTAGACCATTGACAAGTCAAATTTAACTTTCAACTCTAGTTATGAACTCTATTTCAATATTTTACCTAAGAACCTCAAATCTTTAATCCCTCCTAATTCCATCATACTTTGATTTTAAGATAACTTCAGCTTTTCGTAAGCTTAGTTATCATCTAATAATCATAAACCAACTTTTATTTTAACAAATAATCAACTAACCACAAAACTCACCTTTGCCATGGTGACTCACGGCTGAAGAAGAAGAAGAGAACTCTGGAAGTTTATTTTGCCTTCTTTTCTTTTCCACGTGGCTTCCTTATCTAATAAAGGAAAATAAAAATCTTTCATGTCAAATGACTATTTTACCCTTTATTTCATTCAATAATTACTAAATAACCTTCATCATATTTTCAATAAATCATTTAACTATTCAATTATCCCACTTTAATCACCAATTCCTAAAATTTTACAATTTGGTCACTAACCATGTATTAAAGATGTTACAAATCTCCCATCCTTTACAGAAAATTCGTCCTCGAATTTTCACTGAACAAATCAATAAGAACACATCTTCTGTTGTTCTCATATTACCTCATTTCTTAATCTTTTCTTCCTTTATTTCTTCAACTACCCTTTTCCTTTATACATTTATCTACTGTCACTGATCATATAAACAGTAACAAGTAACTTTAATCCATTTCTGTCTTTTCTCTCCTTCCATTATGCATTTTCCTTGACCATTTCTACGACTTCATATAATACATAATCATGTAGACAGTAACATCCATTTTCACCACCCAACATCATAAATTCATCTCTAACTGCCTTACAATAATAACCAAAATCGTTTTCCATCATCATAACCAAAAACATGACCTTAAATCTTCTTTAAATATGATTCAACATACACTTTAAAGAATCTTTTTATATTACCTTGCACACTTTTCTTACTTTTATATCAAAATTATCATCTACACTTCCATATAACCCTTATCGTATCTGATCCTTTAACTAAATTCCTTTCATTTCTTTACTCCATTACTCCTTTATTTATTCCTTATACCCCAACATATATTTCCTTCATGTTCACATACTCTTGTCTTATCACTTATACTCTCTCTGTACCAATCTTTATAACATCCTCATAACTTGATAACTCATTTACTTATACAAAACTTCATTCTTTATCATTCTTATACTTGTATTTTCCTTCCTTAAGGTTCCATGCAAATACTTATCTTCTTTTCTACATCATAGCTATCTAATCAGAATACACAACTACATTCATTTCACATCATAATTGATTAACTCAACTTTATCTTTTCTTCCAGTCTTATAACCTTTACTCTGATAATTAATC